CCTGCCCAAGCCAATGACGACGCACCCGACGTTCTATGTTGGACGTCTTAAGCGGTACTTTGATCCGCAGGGGGGTTGCTGACTCGCAGACCCACCTTGGCCCAGTTCCTCAAAGCGAGGGCGGGCCACAGACGTTGACGATGGCGTCGGAGCAGGCGACCAAGCCTCGGTCTGGACGGCAAAGCTGCGGTCAGGACCGTACGCCGGAGGGGCTCCGTACGAACGGACCCCGGAGCCATACGCCGAGTACGCTGAGTACGCCGGGTACGCACCATACGCGTACGTCTGGGAGTGTGCCGCAGGCGGCTCCAAACGTGGCAACAGAGCCTCGATCCGTCGGATCATGCGAAAGGCCTCGTCCAGATCGGACGAAGAGGCCCGGCGATCCACCCGCAGATGCAGGCTCGCGACCTCTCGCTCCAACAGGTCCAGGCGGTCCGCAAGACGAGCGAGTACGCCCTGATTCCCGGCCTGGGCGGCAGCATCACCGCCAGTGCCAAGGCCAAGTGCAATCTCAAGCACGAGGACACGTTGACGGAGGCGGTCAACCTCAGGGTCTTGTGTCGGACCCGCAGCCGGAGCACTCGAGCGAGAGTGGCGTTCGGGAGGCGCCGAGTACTCGTACTCGTACGAGGGCACCTCCGCCCCTGCTTGACCGGAATGGAGAAGTCCACTTCCACGTGGAGCGGATCCTCCAGGGGCAACGGCGTCGCGGTAAGCGACAGCTCCTCGCGAAGTGGAGGGGTTATGCTCACTCCGATAACTCGTGGGAGCCGATTGAACGGCTCCTGAATGACTGCCCGAAGGCTGTCGCAATCTGGGAACAGAAGCGGCGGCAGCTTCATAAGTAGTCCGGGGCTTCTTGCCCGAACGGGGTACGGACGTTGAATACACTCCGTACCCGCGCTCATCGTGAGCGCTGGAAGCCGCGCGCTTCAGGATGTCCCTTGGCAGCATGCGCTTGCTGACCAAGTGGGCAAACCTAACACGAAGATTACGCTGGTCCAGGACGCGGGACAGCAGCTGGTCTTCATGGAGTTCCCGTAACTCCGTGGGTGAGTACTTAAGAGACTCCACCCATGCCCAGAACATGTCCTCACAAGAACTCCAGGTGGGACAGTTCTCGGGCATAACCCAGGGGTATCCCCAAAGGGATAGAGACCACCCCGGGTCTCGGGCTTCTTACGACAAGTCGTGAAGTCCTTAAGGGGGATGCGGTGTGGCGCGAGAAGCACACACCGAGCAGCCTCCAAGTTGTCAGCGAACAACTGTTCGTTCTGAACAAGGGCACGTTCGTAGATGCCCCTAGAAGTGTGGCCGCCCACAAGGCCACGAGGAGCGACGAGAAGCTCTAGGAACAGGTCACCCCCAGAGCTCTCCTCGTGAGGCCAATACCCTCTTGAGTTGATGGCAGCTCCCTGGCTGACGGGTGCCACCACCGAACCCCCACGCACACGTTGGGCAGCTTGGAAGTCCTCCTGCTGCTGGTCGAGGTCATTCGTGACCTCCCGGGGCTCAGAGATAGCACCCTCCTCCTCCCCTTCTTCCTCTTTCTCCTCCTCTTCATCCGAGGAGTCGAAGAGGTCCCGATGGGAGTGCCGAGTCTCCCTCTCCTCGCGGAGTGGGGACTTAGAGGCCGTACACTTCTTTGAGGGCTTGGCGCCTTCGGATTTAGAGGCCTTAGCACGCGCAAGACCCTCGGCAAGTGAGAGACGTTTGCGAGGATTCTCTTCCTCATCGCCACCAGCTTTGGGAGTGCCCTTAGCTTGATGGCCGGACTCTCAGAGCGCACAGACGTCCTGGGACTGTGATCACCTTGATCACTAGCGAGCGACTGCACGCTGTCGTCCTTGTGCTCACTGGGCACTGGGCTGTGCCCTTCCGCAGAGCCCGCAGGAGCATCGTGCGTGCTCTCGGACTCGGCTTCGTCCTCATTGCCAGAGTCGAGCTCATGTTTCACGAACCGAGGGTTCGGACGATTGTCTGAGGCCGAGGGCGACGAGCTGCGACGCTTGCTTGCTCGCTTGCCCACAGCCGCGTCACCCGATGAACCGATCGCCTTGGAGGCCACCTGAGTAGCCTCCTTAAGTGCCGAGCCTTTGCCGTGAGGCTTAGTGCTCTTGGCTTGCGCCTTTCCGGCAGCAACCTTCGAGCGTGTCTTCGCACCGCTCTTAGCAGTGCCACGAGGCATGGTTAACGGTCTGTGGTGTAGTGATTTCTCCGTAGTTGCGGATTATCATTCGTCGACAAAGACGTGACACCGCCCAAGATGTTCAAGCGACGAACCCTCGGTCATGTGATGTACGGTGACGCCAAGGTGCAAGGGACTCGACGGCGTCACTACCGAACTCTCAACGGATATTGGATACGGTCCATATGTCACTGAATCCAGGCTGTCCTTATTACTAATAATGGACTGGCAGGATTCGCATTCAGCGGCCAAGAACAGACCGTCTACGGTACGAACCCTCGGTGGCGGTTGGGATGAGCTCACGGAATACTTAACGACCCTTGGAAGACACGTTCACCGTCTAGGACAGGGCGCGGGCCGTTAAAGATGCTCATGCGACGGTGCAGACGACGCTTGGCATGCAAGAAGATCCATAACGGATCATTGCTCAGTTGATATTTGTATACTTGATTAGGACTTCTTATTAGGAATAGACCCGAAAGGGTAAACATAAATACAGAACAGAATTTCTACTCAAGCACACAGAGCGACGTCCGGCTTCAAGGTAAGCGTCTGGTCAAGCTTGTTTGAGTGTGTTATGCCTGTCGGTGAACTCGAAGCTCTGTAGCGAGGGTTCATCCGGCAAGGCCAAGAGACTTTGTGTATTGGCCGATTACTATCGGGAGGTTTTTACGTGACGGCTTATTGTTGCCTATTTGCACGACTGGGAGTGCTTGGATTGCCTCCCTTTTATTCTTCTAACCGAGTGTTGAACACTCGGTGATCTCGTAAAAGGCTTACCCGTGCCTGATACCTTTCCGCTGTTGGGACCACGAGGATTCAAAACACCTGCTAGCTTTGCTCGTGCTAGTAGCGTGTTCTTATTTTTACTGGTTGGCCTATATAAGTAGTTTACAAGGTCCAGTTTGTCCCGGTGCAAGGGCAGAACTGGGGTCTTCAGGTCCGCCCGAACGATCGTTTACTATCCTAGTAGACGTATTGTTGTGGGAACGTTCTAACTACATTTGTAGCTAGAGTTCACGTGGGAATTCCAACACCACAGGTCGAAGTGGAAGACCTGGAAGAAGAGCGCACAGACTGCTGCTCGAGGCTCTAGCTGTGAAGTGAGCCTCCGCCGCGCTCGCGCAGCCAAGTCGATGGTTTTTGACTTTGAGAATGAAAATTTGTGACGAACACTTCTTCATTCTGATTGGTCGGTAAGCCGAACCTAAGTGGGGGGGATGTAGCAGGGTACGTAGCCCTAAGTGTACCCTGGTTACATGAAGTATGACACGTCATACTTCGGGATATTTGGTACTACCGTCTTACCGCGCACCAGCCGCCTAGGCGCTGAAAACGAGAGCAAATATTTTTCACTGGCGCGAGGTGCCCTCAATTTGAACGCATGGTTTAATAGAACGAACCCCTAAAATGTAATCAGATGGTGCGGGAAAAGCGCCAGCGCCAACCATTCTTAGCAGCCTCTTTACAGTCTTTTATTGCTACCCTAAAACCAAGTTTGACCGCTCGTAACTTCCATCGCCATTCTCTAGAAGACCTTCTCCTACAGCAGTCCACAATGTTCGCCGAAAAAAAAACGCGCCAGCTACAGTCTTCAGTTCAAATTCAACGTCGTTCGTGAGTGCAAGCCTAATAAAAACGGTTGCGGATACCACGCGCTTTCTAAAAAGTACAAAATTTCGCCGTCCATGGTACGCATGGGTCAAAAACCTCGACAAACTACAGCAAGTATCGAAAGACCGCCAAGTCGGCACACGCCTGGCATGCGGAATGTCCGGAGCTGGGTGTAAAGCAGAGCACCACGACCTAGAGAAGCAGCTTCACGACTGGATAGTCAGCCGAAGTACAAGGGGTTTGCTGGTCAAAGACAAATACATTCGACTTCATGCACTAAATATCTATCGCTCCATGAGCAGCGATGGAGACGCGCAACGCCAGCCTTTTGCCGCTTCTTCGGGGTGGCTCGACCGCTTTAAGCAGAGGTACAATCTTGTGTCACGGCGACATACCACAACAAGGACGCTGCCGAGCGACGCGAAAAAAGTATGTCTGGAGTTTATTAAAAACGCACAGAAAATTATTAGAAAACACAACATTCAGCCACAAAATATTATAAACATGGATCAAGTCCCGAGGTATTTTGAAACAGAGCCAAAACACACAATTACTACTCCAGGTACCAGAGAAGTCCTTCTTCGAACAGGCGGCAGCAGCCACAAACGATTTACTGCCACGTTCGCAATTACTACCACATGTTCTCTTCTCAAAACTTAAAAGAAAACCAGTTGTCCCCGAGGGCGTTCTTGTTGATGTCAACCCCACTGGAATGTGGAATGACACAATTCTTCTCGATCACGCCAAAGCAGTTATTTGCAGCAGAAAGGAAACACAGTTTTATCGACAACCAGTGCTTTATATTATCGACTCTTACGCTTGTCACGTTACGCTGTTTATCGAGAAGCTACTACAGAGCTACAGCATCTTCGTTTTACTGGTGCCACCGAATTTAACCAATTTGCTGCAGCCCTTGGATGTCACAGTCAACCGTAGTTTTCAGACTTACTACACCAACAAGTTCGACGAGTACATCGGCCGATCACTAGACGACAAGAGCCTTCAAACAAAAGCAGGAAACCCAAAAGTACCGCACTACTCCGTAGTGTCCCAGTGGATGCTGGACTGGATATCTACCAAGGAACCGGGCGAGATCAAGAAGGCTTTTAGGGTGTGCGGCCTTGTGCCAAATTCTGAGTTCGACAAAGAGGATCTACATCCTCCGCTGAAGGAGCTCCTCTTTTCGAGCATCGACATGAATGAGTGGCATATCCGCTATCAGCCCTTGATCGACGGTGATGACAGCGACAGAGAGGAGATATGTCTTCAACCACCAGCTTGGTATCTGCCAGAAGACTGCGGTTCAAGCCTATTTTGCTGTCTACGGCACTCACTAGCGAGTACTGTAGCTGATTACGCCAGTGTCCTGACGAGCTACATGCAGGAACTGGGCGAGCTGGAAGGGTTGTTCGACGACAACTACGTTAACTCGATTCGTAACGGAGATAAGGACGGAAGTAAGCTTGAACTTCTCGCCGCATCTCGACTGCACAATTGCAACATTTAGGTAAAAACACTCGATGATGAGTGCAAGGTCATATCTACGTATACATACACCGCTGCTGATGCTTCGAGAACGGTTTGTATTGCTCGACTTGGCTCCTATTTTGCGTTGAAGATGGATGGCATGCACGTTTAAACCTTAATGAATTTCCGTTTTAGTTTTCTTCTGGTTTTAGTAAAGGCACTGCAATAGAACGCCTACTCGTTCCATAGGAGTACAGCGTCCACTGGGCTGTCTATTTTAATTGTACGCCTAGGCGGCTGGTGCGCGGTAAGACGGCATAAGCTGATGTTATACAGGATGTTTGTATCGGAGTGGCCATCTGTTGCTAACTTCAACTCAACGTCTGTGTCGGTCTGCTTCGCTTCTGCTGCTCGCTTTACTTCCTTTGCTTGGGCAACACTTCTTGCGCCTTGTTTGGCTTAATCGGTAGCTCGGTTTTTATCTCTTTGGCGTGTGCGGCAAGCATTCTTTCCTCTTTGGCTTGAGCTGCAGCTCTCTTTCTTTCCTCCTTGGCTTGTGCCATGACTACCTTTTTTTCCTCCTTGGCTCGCGCAGCAGCTAACCTTTTCTCTTCTAAGGCTACCCGTTTAGCTCGTGTAACGGGGTACGTATCCCTAAGTGTACCCCTAGTTACATGACGTGTTTCGCGTCACACTTCAGAAGTATGACACGTCATACTCCGGGATATTTGGTACAAGGTACCAAGGTCGTCCAAAGCCCCATTGGTTGATGACATTGCATTTCTATAGGTGACTTATAGGTTGTATTAAACCCAAGCTTTATCTACCTATAAATATACTCAGTTTACATTCTACCTTAATTAGCTCTCTTTTGAATAAAGAGGGGACCTGAGAGTTTGTAAACTCTCGGAAGCTAACTTCCGGTGCTGTGTGACCCCGTCACATCCGTCCCGCGAGTCCGCAACCAGGCCTTGAGAGCACTGAAACACCAGTTCAAAAGTTTATACTTGTACCGTACTTTGTTGCATTCCAGGCTTGGAATTGCTTCAGTCGCGCGCAATGACCGATCGGAGGACGCGGACCTGCTCATGGACGACTTTCTATTCCACGAGACGGACACCTTCGCGTTTCCGCTGTTGGACTTTGACCCAGATAGCGCGCTGCTGACGTCCGCCGAGCTAGTTATGCACCAGACGCACCTGCAGCAGACTCAGCAGATAGTTCCAGGATCGGATAGCGGTTTGGGCCAGATCAGCAACAGCAGTCGAAACAACAGCCAGCAGCCGACCAGTCGAATGAGCACTGACGGTGGCAGCACAGACACTGAGATGTCCATACCGCCGCCAGCTTCCGTCGAACAACAGAAACAACATTCTGAAATGGGCGCTGCCTCGTCGAGAATGTCGACGCTGCTGGGATTTTCGACGGCGGCCCACTCGCCACTTCCCAGCGAACAAAAGCTATTAGCGCCCAGGACTAGCAGCACTAAAAGCAGCGTCAACGCGACGACGCCTACCAGTGCAGCCGAACCCTCGCCATCCACTACGCTGTTGCCGCTGCCAACTTCTACAACGTTCCCGGGCGGACTACCATGCCAGTGGCCTACTTCCAGCCAACCCTCAACACCAACCTGAAGCGGCCGTTCCCACAGGTGCTGCCAGGCCCAACAACGCCCAGTACTTCCTCAGCTCCTGTTACTCATGCTAGTCCTGCAGCCGACATTGACCCCAACGCCAAGAAATCAAAGCGCGAGATCCGCCAGATGAAGAATCGCGAGAGCGCCAACAAGAGCCGCCTGAGACGCAAAGCATAGCTGACGACAACAAAAATTACGGAGCTCAAGAAAAAGAACAGGAGTTGCAGACCATCATAGCTGGTCTGCGCGCTGAGAACAAGTCGCTGCTGGACCAGAATACGTTTCTGCGCTCGCTGGTGACGAGCTTCAAGCACGAGTCCGCATCATCTCCAAGCAGCCACCAGATGACTGCAGCATTCGCGTCGTTGCCTCCACCAGTGGAGCAGAGCTGCGTAGCTCTCAATATGATGGAAAGCGGCCAGAAGATGGAGGTGGATGGCGATCTACAGACTGAAGACACGGACCTGACTATGACGCCACCGGGCAAGCGGCGTGCTGTGACGTCCACCCTGTCAACGGCTAGTCTGGCTGTGTGTGCGTCCGTGTTCAGGATCACAATTTTCGCCGACTTCGATGGATGTCGGTGACTCGGGTAACGTTCGTAGCGTCGGCACGAGGCACCGACGGCGTGTGGCATCGAAGGATGCTCGTCCGACATGTCGAAGTCTCGTATCAGCTTTATGGTGACTGCTGTGAAATCGTGGTGGCAGTTCGTGTCATCGTCAGAGCTGGTGTTCGGCGTGCTGTTGAACGTGCTATCCTTTATTGCTATCGTGGCGCTGTATCAGGTGTGGCAGTCTGAGGGAGAATGGTGGTGGACATGCCGGACCATATCGAAACCTGATGGTCGACGCCAGGACTTACCTCCAGGCACCGCTACGAAGAAGGGTGCGAAGAAGCGAAACGCCGGTGCTCGGCTACGAAAAATGACCTCGTCAGAAGAATGACCCGTATTCTTTTTTACTCTTTATGTTTTTCATCGAAATGACAATGCGTTATTCACATTCTGTATTCAGTCTCCACGGTTTTCAGTAAATAGGAAGTTGAGCAACGCTTATGGCATTGGTTCTCCTGGTGCTGCCGGGTCGGCATGCAGTGGAGACCCCGATTCTGGTTCCTGCGTTTCGGCAAGCATATTCATTTTGCCCTCGAACGGTGACGAAGATGAAAAAGGTGATCCAGCGGAAGAGTTTGCTCGAGTGTGCTTACTAATGGGCCGTATTCCAACAGGGTTGGACTTGTTGGAATAAAGAGAATCGTCCATAAAGTATTTGAATCCCCGTGACCCCACACCATTTTCCATTGACGTCATTGGAAGGTCAAGAGTCGTTGACTCCACCGTTGAGCCATCCCGTTCAAACAGAAGCATTATGGCGGCCCTTCCGTTTCTTGATTCGCGAATTAAATGTATACACTCCTGGAAAAGCCCCAGCGGCGTGGATCCGCCACGTGGCTGTGACGCAGCCGTTCCGATGACACTCTCGTTGATAAAGTCAGCGAAGCATTGTGTCTGTGTGAACTCGCGTAAGAATCTCTGGTTGGATGGCACCGCGCAACAGAAACGGTTGTAGTCAAACTGTACGGATAAAGCCAATACAGACGAACGGGGTCGTAACCGGCCAAACTGTTCTGGTGTCGGGAGCACATGTTGTCTGCTAGAGGGGTCGTTCATATCGGATTCTTGGTGGCGAACATCGATGTAGCGTCGATAGTCGCAAAAAATGCTAGCGAAAACTGCAGCGAAAGCTCCACGTAGTGTATCCACCCATGAAAGCAACCGGTTCTCGTGCTCAGTCTGCATAGCTGAAACCAGGGACAATGCTTGAAGTCGCTCAGCAAAATGGCACGCATTCTCGTAAGGGAGCGTCGCATTCAGGAATCGAAGACGGATTGGACGACTTGCATGGCGCAAGTAGTCGATGGTTTCTTCGAACGTCAGGTCTAGTGTGGATTGGCCATTAATACCAACTAAAAAACTTCCGGCTGAGATTTGCCCAGAGCGTTCGGCTGGCCCCACCAGTCCATTTGGAAGTCGCGGTAGCGCCTTCACGACTGCAGACCCACCCAACTGTCGCTCAGGATTGAAGTTACTTGCTGCTAGAAGACGAAGGTGTGTAGACTCGAAGGTTATTCCAAGCTTGACGAACACACGGTACAATATAAGTTAGTATTGCTTCTGTACAGCGAGGAAACAAGACTTTTATACTCACTGGCCCCTCATCAAACATCAGTTCAACTTCATTGACTGTGTTTGAGAGGTCTTGAGAGCTCTTTTGAATTGACATGTGGCCAATGGGGCTTGGTACTATGTTCTCAAGCGCTGCGAGGAGGGCAGTCACTTCCCTCGAAGGCAGTCGAGATAATACGAAGTCGACAGGGTAATCATTGACTTGCGGAAAAATGGGGGATACGACTTTATCTTTGTCCAAATGTACAACAACGCATGATGCAAACATTTCAGCGCCCACTCGAGTAGCTAACGAGCTCGTATGCACTCCAATAAAGTATGGTACAGGTGCCTACCAAATAGCAGAGCCAGACTTATTATAATGTACCTCCATGCTACAGTAGCACCCACTCCGTGTGCTTTAGCACGTACCTGCAGGTATTCGATCAGCTTCACAGGCAGGAACGGGATAAAAACGTGTTTCCAGCTGAATGGAAACAGAAGTGCACAAAGCGCCTCGCAAATTGGAGTGAGAAGGCCTTGATGCTACAATCACGAACGATGGTAGGCCGGTTTAATCACATGCACCACCATAATGAGGAGAAACTGATGCTCGTACACTCAAGTGGACTAGCACGCGCTGTTCAAGAAGCAAACAGTTGACGATGTAAATGACCTTCTTGAGACTCAAACACTGAAACAGCATCTGAAAGCAGTAGTCATCTAAGTGAGTAGCTTCTCCCCGTTGCACGTGATAGCGGAAAAAGAATCGTCCATGCATTCGTATATCCAAGGCCATGCCCGGAAGAGGCCGACTTGCGTTCAAAATGAGCTGTGAGAGGATACGACAGTGCAGTTCGCGGGCCCTGCAGCTGCTATCATCGAGACCACCTTTCCAGCCAGGAGATGAAGCGCGGATTCGATCAAAAGAGCCTCTGCTGCTAAACGTGAGTTGTTCCTGGGCTTGCAATGCCGATGGTGCATGTCTGGGCGATACGAACCAGCGACAATCTTCACACGCATACGTGATCGTGGTCTGTACAAGTGAGTTTTCTGACTTTAAATATCGACTTCGATACATCCAACTGCACCGAGTGAGCCGCCCGTTAGCATACATACAGTACCATAACAAAAATGGAAATAAAAAACCTTCCATCTACCTGACAATTTCCTTAAACAGTGAGAAAAACGGGTGGTGTGAAATCAAGCACAGCACACGGGGCCTCCAGTCTGAAGCTGCAGTACCATAACATTCTATCAGACTAACGCTGCAACTTTCAGCTTATAGCTTATACCCACATGCAGTCGTGTATTCTTCGAAGAAGTGCAAGGCAAACCCGTATGCATGGATGCCATCTCCCCCCGTCAGTATAAATGAGAAGAATGTGGGCTTGCGCTCGTACACAGTCGGGTTGAAGAAGGCCCCGCTCTCCTGGATGCAAAACTAATGCAGCAGCTCCATCAGCATTTAGTTACACAAGAAACCAAGCAGTACCTGTACTATTGTACGTCACTTACAAACGGCACTCCATCGGGCAGGACAAAGTCCGAATGGTCAACCGAAGGAATCCTAGTCACGATTCTCCGCTTAAAATCCTCGCCCTGCTGTACTAAAGGAAGCCAGTGCACCATCAATTAATTAAACTGGCGTTTATTCGACTGCATGAGAGAAGGGTCAATTTACCCGCTGGCTCCGCAACAACCTCGACGAAGTAATCCGCAAGTCGCGCGATTGCGCTGGCGCTCTGAGTCTCATGTTCAGGCAGGGGGGTTATGTGTTCCGACCCACCCCTGTCGGGTTTTGGGTACAGAGTATAGCTACCTCGAAATAATAACAATGTATTATTCGAGGCTATTAACGTTTTGTAGTCAAAATATTAGATGTTGTAGGGTAAAGCGGAAAGGGCAAGAAAAACCCTTTACCAAACCACCCTACAGCACTCTTCTATTAATACCCATCAACTTTTCTCGAAGAGCCCAGAACCCTGTTAGGGATACATGTTTACCGGTAGTGATAATATCACCTGGTAGACCAGCTAATATAAAATATTAGCTAATATTTTCTTCTTTGACAAAATAATATTATTTAAGAATAAACTAAAAATATGCTAATACGATCAGGGGTTAATGGTAACGCCAAAATCGGTGAAGTTAATATTGTGAAAATATTACCTGTAGACCAGTTAATATAAAAAATATCACCTACTATTTTCTTCTCGGTAGTGATAATATCACCTGGTGGACCAGTTAATATAAAATATTAACTAATATTTTCTTCTTTGACAAAATGCTATTATTTAAAAATAAACTAAAAATATGTTAATACGATCAGGTTTTTAATGGTAACGCCAAAATCGGTGAAGTTAAAGTGGTGACGTAGGGTTCGTCACGGGGGGATTGTTCTCCATGTGTCGATCGCTTCTAAGAGTAGGAGCCATTTAAATGTAAATACACTTAAATGTCAACTTTAGGAAACTAATCAGGAAGTAGCGTAAACACGTAAGTGCCGGGCAAAAGGCCGCGACAGGACTGCGGTGTCTGGCGAGGCTGCTCTTCTCTGCTGCTCTCTGGTGAGCGGCAGGCGTCAAAACGCAAAGTGGGGAGCAGCCTCCGCCAGAGCACCGCTGTACCGCAAAAGTAGATTAGTATACAAATAGCAAATAAGTCGATACTAAACTCTAGATAAATGCACTCTCGTTTGAGTACACCATCTTGGCAGCGCACAGCCAACGATGTCCTTGTGCATACAGTCCTTGGTATAGTCCTTCGCCATTGCACGCATGTGTACTCAGTGTAGCCGGTTGTAGTGCAGCCGCAAGCTGCACTGCCAGGCGCATGAGTGTCCTTGGGATGTGTCTTTGCAGACACTGGCAGTGGATGGTGGCTCGTAGATGGGGGCACCGGACACTGGCAGACTGCAATGCACTGGCGCTCGACACGCAGGTAAGCTTACAGCTCACACTCACACTTGATCTCGGCGACGCACTTGGAAGTCGACGCGATCAAATACGCGCATCCTAGTTGCGGCCATAGTCCTAGTAGTAGCGTAGTCACAGCTCAAAAGCAATAGCAGTCCACTCAGTAACAGCACTCCCACTCGATCGCCCTCGTCTTCATCAATGTCGCTTAGGTACAGCCTCCGCATCAACAGCAGTAGTCAACGCAGTAGCAGTAGTCGTAGTTGTAGCCATGTCCTCGGATACGTTGTCGTCGCTCGACACAATAGGTAAGACTTTCATAGCCTTGCGAAAGTGTGTGAACTTCACCACTGCAAGTGCCTTTGTCATGATATCGGCCACCATATCATCAACTCCGATGTGTTGGGTTTTAAGTTGCTTCAACTCCACGTGGCGTCTGATCATGTGGTACTTGTTATCGATATGTTTCGATTTCGAATGTTTGCCAGGTTTCGCAGTTAAG